TATATAAAGAGTTCAAATTGTCACAATCAAGAGTGGAAGGTTTAGCAAGTGATACTCTTAATGAAATTGCAACAAACCAAGTGAATTTTGGAAATTTACCTTGGGAAATTTTATCTATAAAATTTATGATTTCAACTCACAACATGAGAAACATATTTACAAAGTCATTGTCTCTGCATTCCTTTCAATAATTGTGTCAAATTTGGCCTTTGTCACATCTCTTGGCCTAGTTTGAAGGAGAGAATAAAAGAGTAAGGGATGATTCAAGAATGATTTCAATTGATAATGTTACCATTTCAAACGAATGAGACGTGTTTTGAAGACTTTTGCAAGACAAAAGAACATAATGCAACCACTAATCTAGCCTAAACGTCAAGAATGGGGAAAGCATTTAGCCACATTAAGATTCAATGGTTAGAAAAGAAGGAGACTAAGTAAGAGCTAGTAAAGCCAACAAATAAAAACAAAACATCCTTAGGTTGTAATAATGGTGTCAATATTTAAATTGACTTTCCATCTTTTTTATTTTTTCATTGTAAATAAGTCTCTATAAATATATTTTAGCTTTTCTCTCAACCTCACCTTGAGTCAAGGGACACTACAAAAATCCGTCTCTGAAAGTTTAGTTAGAAATGTTGATTGTCGAAAATCCATTTAACAAGCCAAACCTTGGCTACAAGATAATGCATTTCACAACTTCACAAATACAACGTATATCTAGACATGGACAACAGAGTGAACACGAAATGATAGTGATGCCTATCAGATACCTTTCACCAATACTTACCATATAATCAGAAGGAGATCTTTCAAAGCGTTTTAATATAAGAAGCTATGGATCTGAAAACTAAAACATGAATTTGAAATGGTGAGTATTACTCAGTGAGTGACTATAAGAGGGGAACAAGACAATGCATGATAGTTTTCATAACACAATGCCTTTACTTTTAAACCATGTGTTTTTGTGATGAAACAAAACAATGCACATGCCATATAAAAACCAAGCATTCAAGTCCTTTTGGAAGCACTTTGGAAGTGTTAAAACCCTTTTGAAACTTCGATGGAAGTATCAAGACAAGTTTAAGCGAAAATAACTTTTTAAAGCTTCATTTTTTAAGAGTAAAGCCATAGGTATTGATACCTGACATAGAGGTATCAATATGTTTCATCTAGAATGCCTTTTATGAGCGTTTTGATTACCAGGCATATATTGGTACCTTGGCCAAAAGTATCGATTCTTTTTGTACGAAAGACTCCTTAAAGTTTTTTGTTTAACAGGTATTGATACCTCATGCTTAAAACCTACAATTTCACTTATAAATGCAAAAATTTGATTCCTTTAAAAGGAGTTATGCATACCTTATGCCAAATACTTAGCTTGGAGACATAATTCAAGTATAAGGGCAAGTAAAGGATTGACCTTGATTCAAAATCAAAACTCATACAAGGAAAATCATTACAAGTCAAACTTTTATTATAACCAATCATAAAATTTATGGAGTCTAGTCAAGAAGTACATAATTAATCCCAGGGATATAGTCTTTTCACCCTTGCTATCTAGGGTAAATGGAGGATGTTCTAAGCTTTGTTATGAAGATTGTCCAATGCATATAGCCATTGACATATATATATATATATGTATAGAGTGTCCATGTGCCATCTCCGGTCACATGGCTAGCTCCATTTTGCCTTTACTAGACAAGGTGAACTACATTGTGCATGACAACTAGTGTTTATTGTCGCTAATTGTAACTTCTTAACTTAAATAACTCCACTAAGATTAATATCCATTACATAAGTGTGAAATCATTACACAATGCCTCATAGCAACATCATGTGACATGTAACTCTTACAATGCCAATAATTATACATTCTCAATGTTTAACTTGCTCATCATTAAGCATAAATGCATCAAACAAATTTAAAGGTAAGGTTTCCATAATCAATACCCATTCATAACACAATCAATAACCATTAATATCATCATCAATAGAGGTATTTAAAACACAAGGTGCTTGTTCCCATGCACTTTTCAAATACTATAAAGTATATCTATAGGGATACTATAATTATACTAAAACATTATCATAAGCATTCCATTCAAACATCTTAGCATAAGAAACACAATTTAAAAGCCCAACATTTAAAACAAGCATTTCAATGAACATTTAAAAATAATATTTATGTATATCAAAGTAGTTTTTAAAGGCATATTCACTCACCAGACTTGTGTAACCCTTTCTAAACCAATTATCAACACCAAGACCTTAATCCAACATGGGTCTTGAAGCTTCAATGGGTACTATAATGACCAATAAGCAACCTTCAACTTAGTTTCATCTAAAAAATTTGGAACTTATTGAGCTCATAAACAAATATTAACCAATTCACATTCTAACTTAAAATATAACTTTGAAATCTAGTCTAATTCGTAACCCTTTCAACTAACAACTCATATTTAAATTTTCTTTACCTTGGTGTGCTTATAGTAACAAAATAGAGTGAAGACCTATATTTTTAAAGAGAGAAATGAGATTTTAAAGAAATATTAAAGTTGGAAGTGAAAACCCATTAGTTTAACAAGTGAAAGAGCTAGATTCTTACCTTTGGAACAATTAGAAATCAAAATCCAAGTTGAAAATTGTGTTTGTTTGGTAAGAAAATGTGGTAGAAGGATGAGAGAGTGTTGAGAGGGTTTAGAACAGAGAAAGAAATGGTTGAGTGAAGAGAAAGTAGGCCAGGGCTTGCAAGGCACAAAGGGTTTTAAAAGAGCCATTGAAAAGATCGTTTTGTTTTTATTTTTTATTTTTGCAAGTCGAGGCATAAGTATCGATACCTTTTATTTTGGGTTTCAGTATCGATACTGCATTCATAAAGTATCAATACTTGCTTCACAAAATGTCTTGGAAGGTTTTCTAAACATTAAGGATTGATGTCTCATTCAAAAATATTAATACCTTCCTTCTAAAAATTCAAAATTTTCCTTTAAAACACACCCATTTGATTTATATCTCTTTACTATCTTTCAATATGTTTAGTATCTTTCAAAATACAACTTTTCTAAGGATCAAATTTGCAAAAATTTGGAGTAAAAATATTTTTCAAGAACTCATCAAACTAAGTTACCTTTCTATCCTTATATTCGTACAAGGGATTTCAAAGTTGATCATCCTAAAAAGAACATCAACAACAAAAAAGATAATTATTGGGCTTGAATGCTTTCCATTGACGACCAAATTGTAGGATACAAAAGAAATGTACTACATTATCCAGTGCAACCATTTAGAATCCAAACCCATCTTAACCATTACTGCCTTTTCAAAGTACCATTCCGCCCTACCATAAGCTTTATTCGTTTCCACGTTTAGGGTCTTCTTCAACTACAGGTAATGAAATGCTTCATTTGCCCCCAAAATGTTGTCTCCTTTGTCCTTTCTCCATGAAGGTACTCTGATCCTGAACGATTAATTATCTCATAAATTACTTCAGTTAGAATTTTTTTTTTTTTGTGGATACATAAATATAACAATAATTATATATTCGAGTCTTGAAAGGGAATATATGTATGTCATCCAAATTTCCTATTAAGAAGATTTGTGCGCATTTACGTTGAGTTTAAATTTTTTTATTTCAATTATGTCATCAATCATGTGTGAATTACTGTGGAACCCAACTAAAATAAATTAATAAACTTTTGTTGCATGCCCTTTTCGATTAGCAGACAAAACCATGCATTTTTTTTATTGATTTTGTATTATATCTTTCCCGAAGAGTATGAACTAAATTATATAATAATAATAAACAATAATGTGTGCACTTTAAATCAAAGAAGTCGAATTTGTATGCTTCATATATTTGTGAAATTTCATCAAAACAAAAATATATGAAAAATATTCTGAGCTTCAAATCCTGAATCAGTTTCCAAGAAATCAAAGAAGTTTGGGGACCATGGTCGGCTTGGTGACTGAGTACTTGAATTTGTCTATAAACAATTCAATGGCATTGAGTTTGTCTCTGCTTATATTGTTCTTTTAATTTGGTTGTTTGCTTTGATGGTTGCTTTAACTTTGCTGATTCATGGTCTACATTACAACCTGATCTGATGGGACAATATACAAAATTATATAAGTTGTAGAATTTGGTTTTGGACTATTTATTAACCTCAAAAATTGTTGCAAGGCATAAAATAAGTTCTGCTCTAAAAAGCTCCAATGGACTATATATATTAGCCAAGCAATTTTCCTTTTTAGGGGGGGTGTGAACAGGTTGACAATGCCTGAACTGTTAATTAGACTTTGGCTCTTGGAAAAATTGGAGGGGTGAGAGAGGCTTTGATGATCATTTGATAACATGAAATATTAGAAAGTTGGCACAGTTGTAAGTAGGTGATTCATGGGGCTTGACTTTTCTAGTTTGGAACTCTACTTTTCAAGGTCAGCCGTTGTTCATTAAACAAAAATATATAAATTTTAATATTCAGTTTAGATTCAAGGAAATGGGTTATGCCAACACTTGCTGACATGTCAATTAGTTTTTAACAAGAATGTAAGATCAGTGAACTTTGATGAAGTTGTAGATGGTTGTAAAGGTTACTTAAATTATTATTACCCTGCATTGATGAGAAGATTATCTTGATCCATCTTTCCTATACCACCAACATCTTTGGTACTTTCTAGCCCATTTTATGTTGTTCAATAACAATGAAAATCGTCTCTTCTTTTAACCTGTCTTACTCTCTATCCTATTTACTTGTCAAGACTGATTATTTTTATTCATTAAATAAGGGGAAACAAAATTGGTAGATGACTCTAATTCATCAGTTAAAACTGATATAGTTATCCTCATCATGATCAGTTTTTCTTTCTTTCATTTTTCATATATATGTAATTTAACATAAGGAGTGAAAAAATAATATTTTTCTCTAATTTTTTATTCCCTTCTTTCATGTGTACATGATATATAATGTTTAATAAGAAAAACAAAGGTATGGGTTATTTTTATTTATCAGTGTCACAAAATCCCAACCTAAGAACGCAGTTTCAAACGTTTATTTTCCTTCTTGAGCATGTCATTCTCGGACATAAGATGCGAAAGCTGCTCATCCTTGGCTTTAAGTTCACCTGTCATCCTTAACAATTCTTCATTCAGCATTTTGATGTGTTCATTCAGAATTTGATGTGAAAGATCCTTGAACTTTGCTTTCCCTTTGACATGCATTCTGTAGATTTGATGCCTACTCAGTGGCTTTGACTGTTGAGGATTTTGTGATGCATCAACTGCTGCTGCAGCTGCAGCTGCTGACACTGAGAATGATTCAGTTCAGTTCAAAGAAAACTAAAAAAGGGTAGAAAACAATGATTACCATGGAAATGATATGTACACGGTGTTATATATAAAAATCACAAGGATTGAAAGAAAAGCAGAGTCGTACCTGGTTGTTCATTGGTTTGGCGGGCTAGAGGATCAGTTGGCAATAACTTCCCAGAAACCCCGGTCCTAGAGTGAGAGGACATAGCCAATTCCATTGAGAATGATGTTATATGATCATCTGAAAACAAATCATTCAATACTCCCTTCTTCATATATATATATATATAGCAAATTCACCCTTTTATAAGAGTAGTCTACAATTGTTGGGGAATATTTTAAATTATGGACCAAGAAGGTAATCTTTTATACCCCTTTCATGGCACTACTCTCTCTCTCTCACTATGCCTGTCTTGCTGGTACTCAAGACTGAAAATTGATGTTGGCCCTGGACCCAAGTTTGAGCATTAACATCAACTTCAAACTATTTCTCAAATGACAGCACCTCTGATGGCGTAATCCATCACAAGCTTACGACCCAAATTTTCCTAAAGTTGACAAATTTGTTGTTTGAGTACAGCGGGTATTATCTTGAAAGAACTTGTTTACTCATTCTGTAATTAGAAGCGTAATAAATTACCCAATTTCCCTAGCAAGTCAGAGTGATGCACTCAAACAAAGGAAAAATGACAACAAAAAGTAAAAACATGCTCCAGGGCACAACAATTAATATCATACCTAATTGTTGGTGGCTTGTCAGAGGATCATTTGGCAGAGAACTGGCATACTCCATGGTTTGTAAATGCGAGAATTCAGTCAACTGGAACATCATAAAGTCCATAGGATCTGAAAATCACAAGAATTTTTCTTATTTAAACATATTCGTACATAACCAAAATCAAATTAATCCAAGCAATAAATACTTGAAAATCTGGTAAAGGGTCGATTAAGAAAGGGAAAAAAATCTAAATAAACAGAGCTCTTCATATATAAGATGTTCACTTTGGGGAAGACTTGTACGAGGGGTATCTTGAAAATATTCTGAGAAAGTTTGGGGAGAAGGAGGTATGCTGATTCCTTGAAGATATGGGGTATGTAGGCGAGGGGAAGGCGCCCTCTCTTCCCAAGCAGCAGGCATAGCAGCTGCAAGCAAGAAAAGTTCAATAAAAAATATGAGAAGTACCTAACCGAACCAACAGGTCCAAAACCCGTTGGTTGAAACCGGCTATGTTAATGTGAAATGAACACCCTAGCATGCCCTTGCTACAAACTTGATGTTAATGGTATACACCTGAAGTCACATGTTCATGTTCCGAGCTTTCCATGATCTTTCTCACACTTGAACCAGCAACAAGTTAAAACTAACCTCGAAGAAGTTGTTCTTTAGACACACACACACACACACACTCGGACAATGATCAAAGACAAGACACCACACTGAGTAGAACGAAGGAGAGGAACGATCAAATCCTGACTGCGAGAAAACAGGCATAATAAGATCCTATCAGAGGGAAAGTTTGGAAACGCACTCGACCCCAATATGATGATTTACAGGAAAGCATCAAAGCAAACGAAAGGAGACTCCAATAAATACCAGAGAAACATGAGACGACTGATGTAGATGAATAAATAGCTATGCTTTAAACAAAAATGGGAACCAAAAGACCCCACAATGATAACCACAGCTATAATATATAGATTAAATGGGAACCCAAAGCCCCCACAATGATAACCACAGCTATAAGATATGGATTAAAGGGCTCTATGTTCACAATAATAAAGATTATTATTATTATTATATATAAGACTTATTATAAAATCCAGAAGGGTCAATAAGATTAGAGAACAAGAAAAGATGTCCAACTAAACGACTGAAAGACTTAACACACTAAAACGGCACTTACCATGAATCTTTAAAATGATCCTTGGGGGTCACCAAAGGACAGTAAGATCAGAAATTCAGATTACTTACAGAATATAATATCTGAAATATAGGACCAAAAAGAAATGACAGATTAGAGCAAAGGTACAATAAGATTAGAGAAAATATAAAACCAAAAGTTCAATATAATCATAGAGAAAGGTACAATCAAAGGCATATAGGCTAAGCTGCAAATCATATATAGATTTTTTGTTTTAATTGTTTCATGATAAATTTTGAAGTTAGTACTAGCAAATGACAAATGCACATGATCTTTGCTATTAATTCAGAGACATACATAAAGTAATCATCATAATTTTACACTTACACAATCTAAATTATATATTACTTGATCCTTTTTTACATATTCTTAAGGTATAATAGTATATCTAAATGTTGAAATTCATTATTGCATTCATCATTATACTCTAGAATCAGTTGGCTAAATCCATGTTTTGTTGGTGAAAACAAAATTTAAAAGTACCATTCATTTTGACTCTATATCAATCATATATATAAATAAATGAATCATTGCAATTTTTGGGATTAAACTCTCTAAATTGTAAACTAATAGTCATTATCCCTATGTATGTATTACCCCAACCAAACATCACAATTCAAATACAATTTGTAATCATGCTTGGAAACGTTGACTATTTAAAACATTGATTAGTAAAAGTTTTTGGCATTGATATATATATATATATATATAGATATATATATGAACAAATCAAATCATTGAGTATTCTTCATTATCGTTGTACTTTTTATTAACAAGTAGCAATATTTTTAAACTATGAGACTTAAAGATTTTAATCTCTTTAACTACATTTATTAAAGAGAGCTTGGTGCCCACTTCGAATCCCAGTTCTCGAGGAAGAAAAGAAAAAATCACATGCAAAGCGGCAAGTTCAAACGACAGCGTTCCAGCCTTTTTCCGTAGACAGTAATTTTCCCACTTTATCTCCCAACTGAAACGAGTTAAACCCTTCCAAAACCCCGTGACAAAACCAGCCATGCCCTGTACCTTCAACCATGGCCTTCTCTGCTAAAACTCCACGAACCCTTATCAAACCAGACCATCCAAGCCCTCTCAACACGAACAACCACAGCCCCAAATCCATCTATTTCTCAAATCAACGCAAAGCCCACCAAATTTCCTCAACAAAGCCCCACCAACAACTCTCAGTCCTTAACACCAATTCCTTGAACACCGACAACCCAAACTCCCATCTCCACCTTCTTTGCCTCAATGGCCACCTCCAACAAGCTCTAAACTACATAGACTCAATGAAAGAATTGCAAATTCCATTAGATGAAGACGCGGCTATTGCTCTGGTGAGACTTTGTGAGTGGAAGAGAGCTTTTGAAGAAGGGTTTAAAGTTTACTGTTTTATATCGAACTCGGGTAACCCTTTGAGTCTTAGGCTTGGAAATGCTTTGTTGAGCATGTTTGTGAAATTTGGGAAATTGGGTGATGCTTGGTATGTGTTTGGTAAAATGCAAGAAAGAGATGTCTTTTCTTGGAATGTTTTGATTGGTGGGTATGCGAAAAAGGGCTTTTTCGATGAAGCTTTGTGTTTGTATCATAGGATGTTGTGGGTTGGTTTTAAGCCCGATGTTTATACTTTCCCTTGTGTTTTGAGAACATGTGGTGCTGTTCCAAATTTGGAAAGAGGTAAAGAGGTCCATGTCCATGTTATCAGGTTTGGGTTCGAGGCGGATGTTGATGTGGTTAATGCTTTGGTAACTATGTATGTGAAGTGTGGGGATTTGGCGCGAGCAAGGTTATTGTTTGATAAAATGACTAGGAAGGATAGGATATCGTGGAATGCGATCATTTCAGGTTATTTTGAGAACGGAGAGTGTTTGGAAGGGATAATGCTGTTTTTTATGATGCGTGAGCATTGTGTTGATCCAGATTTGATGACTATGACGAGTGTGATCTCTGCATGTGAGAGTCTTGGTGATGATAGATTAGGGAGGGAAATTCATGGATATGTGATTGTAACAGGGATGTCGGATGATGTTTCAGTGTGTAATTCTTTGATTCAAATGTACTCGAGTCTTGGACGTTGGGAAGCAGCAGAAAAAGTTTTTGATAGGATGGAATGGAGGGATGTAGTGTCGTGGACAGCAATGATCTCAGGTTATGAGAATAATGTACTGCCTGAAAAAGCTGTCGATACTTACAGAACAATGGAGCTGCAGGGTTTCATTCCTGATGAGATCACTTTAGCCAGTGTTCTGTCTGCTTGTGCCTGTTTACGTAAGCTAGATATGGGAATTAAGCTTCATGAACTTGCTAAACGGTCAGGGCTTATATCTTACATCATTGTTGCTAACACCTTAATTGATATGTATTCCAAGTGTAAATGTATTGACAAGGCTCTAGAAGTATTCCACAACATTCCTGACAAGGATGTCATTTCTTGGACTGCTATCATTTTGGGGCTTCGGCTTAACAACCGATGCTTTGAAGCATTGATTTTTTTTCGACAAATGAAACTGAGTTTAAAGCCAAATTCTGTCACTTTAGTGACTGTTTTATCTGCATGTGCTAGAATAGGAGGATTGATGTGTGGGAAAGAGATTCATGCATATGCATTGAGGACTGGGATGGGGCTTGAGGGTTTCATACCCAATGCCCTTCTGGACATGTATGTAAGGTGTGGAAGGATGGGACCAGCGAGGAACCAATTTAACTCGCAGAAAGAGGATGTTGCAGCATGGAATATTCTGCTGACAGGATATGCGCAACGGGGACAAGGGACACTGGCTGTGGAGTTCTTCAATAGAATGATTGAGTCTAATGTCAACCCAGATGAGATTACATTTATTCCACTCTTATGTGCTTGCAGTAAATCAGGAATGGTTACTGAAGGTTTGATGTATTTTAATACCATGGAACTGGAATATGGTGTCGCCCCAAATTTGAAGCATTATGCGTGTGTGGTTGATTTGCTTGGCCGTGCTGGACAGTTGCAGGAGGCTTATGAGTTTATAATGGAAATGCCTATAAAGCCAGATCCAGCTATATGGGGAGCCTTGCTAAATGCATGTAGAATCCATCGGCAGGTTGGCCTTGGTGAATTTGCAGCCCAGCGTATTTTTGAATGTGATACAACAAGTGTTGGGTATTATGTTTTGTTATGCAATCTCTATGCTGGCAATGGTAAATGGAATGAAGTTGGAAAAGTTAGAAAGATGATGAAAGATAATGGGCTAACCATTGATCCTGGATGCAGTTGGGTGGAAGTTAAGGGTAAAATTCATGCTTTCCTCAGTGGTGATGATTTTCATCCTCAAATAAATGAAATATATGCAGTATTGGAAGGGATTTATGAGAAAATGAAGGTAGTCGGCCTGGATGTACCAAAAGGTGACTCCACGGATGATGTTGAAATTTCAAAAGCTGAAATTTTCTGTGGCCACAGTGAGAGACTGGCTGTTGCATTTGGTCTTATTAATACTGTCCCTGGAACACCAATATGGGTAACAAAGAATCTCTACATGTGCCAAAGCTGTCACAGTACCATTAAATTCATCTCCAAGATTGTACGCAGGGAGATTTCTGTTAGGGATACTGAACAATTCCACCATTTCAAGGATGGCACCTGTTCTTGTGGTGATGTGGGAATATTGGGGAAAACTTGACAAGTGAGATCTCTGAAAGAAATTTGACAGTTATTAACTCTTATGTAGAATGTAGATACGTGAAAGGCAGCCTAAATGATGCAGTGGAAAATGTATTATTGGGCTATGGATCATGGATCAGCCTATTAAAATTAAAATGTATTACATACCACAGAAAGTTAAAGAAGCTTGGAAGAGTGTTGTAGACTCCTTTTAAATATTGATGCTCCATTGGCATGAAGAGTGAAAAAGCCTCCTCTCTGATCTCTTTGGCAATGTACCTTTAAACAGGAAGAATGACATTGGGGGTTGATGCGTGGTGCTCATAGAAACTCAGTAGACTCCTTTGGCAGTGACATGTAAATTCCTGTAGTTATGGTAAGGTGTTGTCTACTTTCCTCTGTTTGTATTGTAATTTTCTCCTGTAAAGTCAAATACAAGAAAAGTTACCTGAAAATTGAGGATGTTGTACAAAATCAAAAATCACAATAATATGATTATTCCATACATCTATTTTGCTGATGATTTTAGGTTTCCTTGTTTGAATATTGAAGATACACACATACTTACCTCTGGGCTTATGTAGTTTTTGCATTCTAACAAAGCTTCCATATAAGCATCATGGACGGATTGTTGAATCATCTATTTGCTGACTTGTACCAACTTTTTTTTATTTAAATATTAGATTGATTGAAGAATTATTATTTTCTATGCAGCTTCCATGCTACTTGCATGCGATTGATATGGCAATGTGTTCTTAAAGTGGAAAGGATATATTATATGGACCATGTCTTGTTCCTTGTCTAGCCGAAAATTTATATCTGCATATTTCCAAAGCTAGAGGTTTCTAGGGGAGAACAAATGTTTCAAACCTACTAATCAAGTGCTACTTGGTTTGAGCAACTGCATAGATAGCATACATGCATGATGGGAGATCTCAAATTGGAAGCTCTTTTGGGAGTGGGAGAGAAGAACTTTTTGAGTACAAATTACGGCATTAATAAGAACCAGGTTTATTCTGTTGTGAACAATTTAACAATTAGAAGATTAACTGGAAACTATGGTAAATAAAAGGTCTGGTCTGGATTCAGATTAACAACATAAACACCCACAATCATTCTGTTTATTAGATCTAGGAGCTATTAGCACTCACTTAGAGAACAAACCAAAACAACATATCTATAATACCGAAATCACTTGGAGAACCCAAAATGAAAAAAAAAAAAAACCACAGATACGATATACAGATATTGACCCAACTGAATAGGATCTATATAAACAACAAGCTGTTATCTCACAACTGGACGACCTATACAGACATCAAAAGCTGAAAAGACCTAAATTCACTCCATTATTCAACTTAAAAGATACTTTTAGCAATCTTAAAAAATAATAAATAAATCACGGCAATGTTGAAGATACAATCCAAAGAGATAGGCCTCAGTGGAAGAAATCTTCATATTTTCACAGCCTTCTTTATTGTTTTGATGGATGACTTGAGGAAGTTGTTTCCGGCAGCATAGTCTTCTTCATCATCACTAGTTACTATTGGCTTCTTCCTCATGCACTCCACTCCTTTTTTCATACCCAAAATCAAAGATGGAGAAGATGGGATTCGCCCGAAGGCCCTGGCACTCTCAGACCTTGCAAGAATTCTTTCCTTGCCATTCTTCTCAATTCTTTGCTTTCTGCCTCCAAGACGACCTTCACTAATACGAGCTACTTCACAAGCATTGCTACTTCTCCTTGGTGTTTTACTGCCTTCTATCTCGACAATCTCTTCTTTCTTCTCCCCAACACTCTGCTGCTTCTCATGAATTTGTGTCGTGACCTTTTTCTCTTTCTGTGGATACTTCAAATCCAGCTTTTTTATTATTTCATCGATTCCAGTCACTTCTTCTGCATCTGCATTTTGAGGGTCCAATTCGTCTTGAGTGTTCTCTAACAGCATTTGCAGCCACCTCTCAACATTCCCTTTCCCACGCTGCCTCCTGCTCTCTTCATCATCTGCTCTCTCCGTCTCTTCAGCAGTAGGGATTTGAATTTCTTGTCTCTCCTCTTCTATTTCAAATCTCTGAAACTTCTGCACAATTGATTTTTCATCTTCCAAAGCAGCTATGGCTTTATCATGCTCCTCACGCGTTCCTCTGACAGTATTTCTTTCTGTAATTGCAAGTTCCTCTTCAATTTCTTCATGCTTTTGATCTTCATTTGAAGATAAACCAGCTACAGATGCTTTATGTTCCTCCTCCAGAAACAGTCTCAGCTCCTTGTGTGAAGGCGTCCTTGGCCTGATTCCTGGTAGATAAAGAACAGTTTTGCTATCTTGTCCTTCTAAGAAAATATCATCCATCCTTGATCTCTTCCTTGCGTGTTCCCCTTCAGGCCTTATCTGCTTCTCAAGCTCATCTCGTTGTTTAAATTTCTTGTGAAGTTCCTTCTCCGAGGCGTCACATATTGCCTTTTGTGCTTCAAGTCTTGCCATGAGTGCATTTGCTGCAGCCTGGTTTAGTCTCAACTGTTCCTTGTAAACGACGCTCCTACATGAAACAGCAGAAAACGAGAATATTTTGAACCTATAAAGTGAAGTCATAAATATTGTCACATTAACAGTATGTCTTTGACAATCTTACTGGTGCATAGCATCCCGGATCATCTTTTCTAGCATAGTCCTGTATGAAGACTGTGCCTCTGCTAGCCGTCTGCACTTTTCTGCCCTTCTCCTACGCTTTATCAGCTCCACTTCCAAGTCTTGAATAGCAAGCTTTTCTTCATCATTTTTTCGTCTCATTTCAGTCACTTCTTCATCCCACTTCTGGATTTCTGACTGCATCTTTTGTGTTTCTTCCCTTTGTTTCAGTGAATCTCTGGCCATAACAATGGCCTGATATGGATTTGTAATAAAATCTGGATTTTCATTTTCTTTCAAAACGCTAGATTTCTTCTTCCTTGCCGCTGAAATATTATAAAAAAACACCTATTATGAGATCAAATGATTGAGATGAATGCACAAATAGACTAGATACCATTTTCTCTTTGTACTAACCAATCATAGGAGACTGTGGCCTTATCTGCCTGTTGTAATCCAGTGATTTCAGAGCTGATGAAGTATCATATAGTTCCCTACGGGTCACAACAACAGCAGCTGGAGCAAGGCCAAATTGCTCTTTGGACTGCATAAAATGCTGTGGAAAAGAATGTGACTCCACTGTTTGTGAAGAATTTATTTCTTCATTTTCACCTTCTGCAAACAAGAAGGAAAATGCCCTGCGCCTGCAATTTTTGTAAATTTTATATTTATCATTACGCAATCAGTTTCTGGTTATAAAATGAAATGAAATGTAGAAATTTAGACAAATCCAAAACCTGAAATCAGACTTTCGAGAAGCAAAAATCGATAAGAACTGGTTCACAGAAATTCCCAGCTGAAAATCCCACCACGGAACTTGGAATTCTAGCTTGTTATGTTTTTTCTTACATACTTGCCACTGTAATATCCTCAGGTTACTTGCAACAGTCAATCCACCCCCTACAAATTATAAAGCAGCATCTTCATTAAGTAAAACGAAGGCATAACCTAAGAGTAAACAAACAACAGAGAAACTGGTCATTTAGTAATGTACTTGAGCAAGGAAACCAGTGATCAATATCCCAAGAAAGAGGTGAAGCTGAATCTGCATGGTAGTACAGCACATTGCCATATGGATCGACACGAATTACTTCTGGATCAAAGCCGGCGTTCCTGAATTCAAAGGAAGTGACGGATATCAGGAAAAAAAAATCCCAATAATTTCCATCTCTATACACATTCGTACTTGTAAGGGTCTTTAAGAGTAAAATTCAAGTAAATTACCCTAAATGACTGAGCTGTTTCCACAAGAGATTGATGAAAATTTTTGGCTTGGCTGTTGGTCTTGCCTTTGGGTCAATAGTTGGGAACATTAGGTCCAGCTCCTTTGCTCTCAAACCCTGCCGAAAAACAAATTAGTTATTAAATCTCCAAAGCCTTATTTTCTTTCCCATTTCCTTATTTTTTACCAAAACCCAATTTTCCTCCCTCTTTTAAGAACCCCAACACAAGAAAAAATCAAAGAAAAATGGTAAGAAAGAATTTACCTCATTTTGCTGCAAAGCGTAAGGCATGAAGGTGAAAGGAGGGCCATGACTGTAGAGACAAAGACTAGGGTCGCGGCAGATTTTTGCGTAGGCTCTCGGGTACCCGAGACCTTCATCAATAACCATTTCCTTGTCAGTGAAGGCATAATCGGCGGCCATTTTTTCCAGTGAGATTTTGTTTCGTTTTTCTGAAGATTGAAGGACCAATAAGAAATGCTCTGTTTTTGGTTTGAGAATAAGGGAAAAGCTAACGGTCGAATTTCTGTGTATTCCTAATATTTTAAAGGTAGAGTTGGTGGATTTAAATTTTAGAGGTGCCACGTAAGCAAAATTCGGTGGGGGAGTGTAACGGCTAGATTAGTAGATAAGCTGGTCTGGTCCGGTCCTGTCCCATGCAAGTATAGTCCACTTTGCTACTATTAGATTTTCATTACGTTACTAAATGACAGAAATGCCCTTCCTCTTTTCTTTGTTAAGGATGATGTTTTATTGTGATATTTTTACTATGCTTGAGGACATTTTTCTTTGGGGTATTTAATATTTTCATTTATCAAAATATCATTTATTAATTATTATTAATCAAAATATCATTTATCATTTTTTATCCACGTGACATTGATATGGAGAGTGAAAATTTTATATGACCATGACATCATGTCATATTAACATATGTTATGACTCGTTAACATATTATGTGACATAAAAATGACAAGTGACATTTTGATTAATAATAATTAATCAATCATTAACCATAAATAATTTATTTGATTTAAAATAAAAATATAAAAAATAATTTATTTAAATATTATACTTTTATTCTTCACATTTAAGTCATTATGCAAATAGCATTATATGCTTTTGATTCACTTATAATAATTAAAAAAAATACAAACATTATGCCTATAATCATTCTAATCAATAAAAACACGTTGTACTTCAAATCATCAATCCTTTAGCTCAAATCAGTAAATTCCTGTGATTATTCTTTGCTTAGAATCTGGTATCAAATCAATGTAAAGGGGAGACAGGTGGGGTGTTGTTTGACCGCATAAGGGCTTTACTTAAGGGATTTGATAGACCCTTTTGTTTGTTGAATTTAAATGAAAGTAGCAATGATTTGGTTCGTCATTAACGTTTGAACAAAAATGAAACTAACACAAAAGGCAGATGAAAAGACCCTTTTCAGCACAAGAACACCACTGAAAATGCCATTTCATATCCAATGGGCCCATGTTTAACACTATTGGACTTCTTAGATTTGGTGGGCTAGGGTTATTTGGGTCTTGGGGGAAGGACCCATGTTCTGAAGGACTCAAGTTTGGAAAATGAGAAAAATTCAAAATTAAAAAAAAAAAACTCTACTAATTAAAGAACAGAAGAAACCTGTTTCAATTTTCTTTCTCAGTATCTAAAAGGAGTTGGCATGGGAATACAAGGCATGAAGAGAAATAAACAAATTGTATGAATTAAATCCACTTGATTTTATTGTTATGAGGATAATTTGTTTTACTAGTATAAATGCTGCAATGGCTCTAACTAATAGATTAGTTTTGGGGGACTTGAATTTGTTAATGAATATATAGCAAAAGCTATAGTCATATCCTAAAACATGTAACAATGAGGCTGTGGAGCATTCTCTTGCCAGGAAACACAAACATCTAGTCCCAGTTCCTGCTGTACCAAGCTATGAGCATCTGCATTGACATGGCTTTATAGCAATTTTCCTTAAGCTTTGCAGTAATCTTTTTAGAAATTTGTATCCGCAAGCCAACTTAGGATTATAGAATATATATATATATAGCCTTGAATGCTCTTTTTATGGGAATAATTTTACCCGTCGTTTCCCTTCCCCCACTTAAATTTTTTATTGAGACCATGAAATTTAACCTCGATTCCTAGGCTTGGTGGTAATTGAAGTGGTCTAATCCAAGCAATTCTATCTCCCAATAGTGCTGGTGAGTCTACGTCCACAAAATTAAAGGTGAAGGGGTTGCTAGAGGATTGAGCCTGCGGCTGCTGAAGAAGAAATGTCCGTCCAGCTTAACAAATATCTGAAGAGCCAATTTTGACTTATATTCTTATCCAACTTCTCAGTTCACTCAAAAGCTAGATTCGTTCAACGACCCCACCATAAATATAATTCTACAATCTCAGGTTTTCTCTGACTTGCACCTTCCACTACATTTCCTCTCCAACTTCTTGTTATTGGGAAACAAATTTTAAAGTTTGTCATTGATTGAAAGCTTATAATTGTCGAGGCCATAAGGATATTTTGTTCCCTAGTTGAACGCACAAGTTGGCACATATAATCTGAACCAAACTTATATGGATTAGTAGAAGAGCATATATTTGATCCCGACAAAGTCTGTCATTCGAATTTGGTTATTACATGTAATTCACATACCAAAATTTGAAAAATATTTATTTTTTTGTATTTGGTTTGTCACTTGCTGATGGTCTTCGAATAATATGTGATGACTGTTAAGTATCAAGGGTAAGAAAGAAGAACGAGGTCACTATAAAGGACCTCTGTTAAATGGTTTAAAAAGCAACGACGAACAGAGGTTTTTTAAAATTGAACTTTTTCATTAGCTTTTTTCATTCATTTTCATAATATATACAAAGACCTTGACGGATGATGAGATTACACAAATTACACTTGCTTATATAAAGATTACATGTGTTAACTATAAAACATTAATGAGCATCGAGTTCATTGGTTTTCTCTTTTTATATATAATTGGAAGAGGAGAGATTCGAATACTGCTCTTTAGGCAGGGAGATAATGTACCAACTAATGAGCTTTACTCAGGTATAAAGTAATAAAGTTAAAAGGTAAAAATATCTTTAATAATATTGCAGAGTGTAATGTAATGCAATTATTATTATTTTCTAGGCCTCTTAATGCCATAGAATTAGGTACAATAATAAGTACACTAGTTCATGCTCAATGTGGATATCAATGGAACCACGCTCAATCCAGCATGCAATCATCCCCCTGCACCAACTAATAAGGGGATTATGCACTATCTCCATGGCAAAGAACCTAATATTTCACAACAAAACTAAGCATATAAATGTTAGTACATAATCCCGTTGTCTACAGACCAGGGCTCAAATCCCTCTTCCCTTAATTGTTAAAATAAAAAAACTATCAAACATTAAAGAGCATGTAAAATTACACATAATATGGCACCCTATCCATGCAGACACATCTCAAAAGATCAACTTGGAAGTCAACATGACACGTGTGATTCATCTTCAAAACATCACGCAAGCATTATCAACAACACTTCTCCTTAATGCTTGCAAGTAAGACTATCAATCTATCTTTATTAAGCTCAAACTTCAGCTTGCATGGAGGCTTTTTCATCATATTTGCAATGTGACTTTTTGTGCTACAATATTGAACCAAAATCTCACCTCGTTTCTGTGCATCTCTTAGTGCATGGTACTTCACATTTATATGCTTAGTTTTTCTATGAAATATTATGTTCTTTGCCATAGACATAGCAGAGTTGTTATCTACAAATAATTTAGTTGCATTCTTGGGTGACATATCAAGATCAAACAAGACTTTTCTCGACCATATGGCTTGGTTTGCTCTAGAAGTTGCTGCAACATCCTTGCCTTCTGCTGTGGATTAAGCCACGATCTCATATTTATGTGAATTCCATGAAAAGGTGCCATTTCCAAAAGTAAACACATAACTTGATGTACTTTTTTCATCATCAGAACTACCACCCTAATCACTATCAGAAAATGCATTGAGTTCAATGTGATTTCCATGAGAAAAATAAATGCCATGAGTTGGGGTGCCTTTCAAATACTTGAGAACTTTTTTGGTGGCTGTAAGATGACTCTCACTAGGTTGCTACATAAACCGTGAGAGATAACTAACTGCAAATATAATTTCAAGGCATGTGGCATATATGTAGAGGAAACTTCTTATGAGGCTTCTATAGTGTCTTAGATTTTCAAGTTTATCTCAGCTTTCATAGATGGTTTTTCACTAGCAATGAGAGGAGTTGCGACTGTTTTACAATCTTTCATTTTAAACCACCTGAGCACATTAAGAATATACTACTATTGAGACAAATGAATACCAGTGTTGGGGTTGCATTATCTTTTAGATCTGGAACTTCAACTCTTAGTTCAACAACACCCAGAGTTCAAGATTTTTAAGGAATGACTCCATCTTTTTCAAACCAAAGTGGGTAATTTTCTCTGTTGAACACTGGAGGTGTTTAAAGGCTGAAAAACAATGTTTGATGGAGATGGAGAGGCTATTATGTTTGCAAGTGAGTGTATAGTTATTTTCAGAGAAAGTCTTAGGTTCAAATGGCTATATGGTCCCTTGAGAACTTACTTCAGCTCTAATACCATGTTTAGTATCAAGAGTAAAAAGGAAAAATGAGGTCATTATAAAGGACCTTTGTTAAATAGTTTAAAAAATAGAGATGAACAAAGGTTTTTCAAAACTAAAATTTTTCATCAGCTTTCTTCATTCATTTTCATGGTATATTCCAAAATCTTCACAAAGGATGAGATTACACAAATTACATTTGTTCATATAGAGATTACAAGTGTTAACCATGAAACATTAAAGAGCATTCAAAATTACACCTAATATGCCACCCTATCATGTAGACACATCTCCAAAAATCAACTTGGAAGTCAATCATGACATGTGTGATTCATTTTCAAAACATCATGCATAACAATGACAAGTAAATGATGGATATGATTGCATGCTTGATTGAGCATAGTTCCATTGATATCCACATTGAACACGAACTAATGTACCTATCATTGTACCTAATCCTATGGCATTAGAAAACCTAGAAAATAATAATGGCATTAATGAGGCTGGTGATGTAAATGATCAAGTAAGTGACTCCATTAACGAAATAGTTAAGGCATTTGATGTTCTTAATGAGGCCGTAGGTCAGGGTAATATATAGTTGTAAGGGTAAGGTAGATGGCATAGGTCAAATTAGTGATGTTGCCATTGATCAAGACGATGGTTATAAATAGTGACGAAAGTGAAGAAAGCAGTAAAAAGTTCTAAAAGTGAGGCAAGGGAAGACGAAGCATACTTAGTGGATGTACAGTCTTTTAGAGATGATGATGATGAGTTACTGATGGCAAGAATTAATTTGCAAAAGTGTGTATCAAAATAACATAATAAAAAGCCTAAGGTAGATCAAGGTGATAGGATGTTTGTTGAAAATGTTTTTGGTGATAGTGAAAGCAGT